AGAGTGATTCCGCAAAAAATTTATAAAAAATTCCACAAATATTGTCGTTTATCTTCTCCACATGAGAAAAAATGTCATCGAATTCTTTGATGTCATTAATATTGGTATCCATGTTGTGACTTTTTTTTAATATTCCAAATAATCCTTTCAAATGTAGATGGAATATTGTTTTGGAATATCTCCAATGTTCCAGTGGAATACCCCAGTAATGTGAATGGAATATTCCTTCCCGAATAGTACAGAATATCCTATTCATATTCCTGGAATATTCCATTGGAACATTATAAATATTCCTTTGCAATATTCTAAACACAATTTGAGGAATTAACTATAATAATCATTCTTTCATTCTGTCTGTCCACACTTTGAAATTAGTTTTTGTGTATGATTTTGTTTTTTTTTTCTTTAAAAAATATTGTGTGACAGATCGAAAAAATGCAGGTATTTTTTCATGATTTATAATAAAACAATATTTGAAATAAGAAAATATAAAAAAATTATGAATAACAAATAAATTTTGTTTATTATATGCTTTTTTTATAACACATTTCGGTTGACTGATCTAAATTATGCAAATTTTTCTCCATTTTATTTATAAAAAATATAAAAAAATTGTTAATTGTTAAAAAACTATAAGAAATAGAAAATATACCAATTTTATGCATAAATTATATTTCTCAATAACAATATTGTTCAGAAACTCATTCTTTTTTTTAAAAAAGAAATATTACATATTCTATTTTATTTGTCAATTACAAATTTTAATTGAAATTAAAATTGAAACTTTTTAAATTTTTAGAAAATAAAGGAAAAAATTTTACTCAAAAAAATGTTCTGTTACATTTATTTACGAATTTCTTTAATTTTAAAATTATTCGAAAACATCAATAACTTTTTTTTTAAATAAATATTTAAACAATATTATTTCTCCATAGGAATTAAGAATTTCAAAAATTTCAAACTCAAATCTTTTTAAATTCAATAACTTATAAGAGAATATTTTTATAAAACATGAAGATAGCGATTGCTCCGAGTCGAAGACTCGGAGTGATCGATTTCTTCATGTTTTATAATAATTTAAGATGACCGAGTGTTAAAATCATTGTTTTATATTATAAGAATATTATTGCAGTAACTTTTTTAAAATTATTTTGATCATTTCAAATCAATTATTATTTTCTATAATTTCTTATTATTTTTTATGAAAATAATTGAATTCCTTAAAAAAATTTATTGTTTATAAAAATAATTAAATTAATGCGAAGGAATTTATAAAAAAATTTGTAAATAATTGAATTCCTGAGAAATTTTTATTATTTATAAAAATAATTGAATGTTTGCGACTTTGCGTACTATTTTTGTGAATTTGAAATTGATTTGAAAATAATTGAACTTTGGGGAAGAATTTTGTTATTTATAAAGATAATTGGGATTTTGACGAGAATTTTTTTTAAATTTGAAAGATAATTGAATTTTATGAGAAGAATTTTATCACTCTTGAAAATAATTGAATTTCTGCAATAATTTGTAATTTTTCCAAAATTGGATTTTTTTTAATGTTTTCAACAAAAATTTGAATTACGAATTTTTAAATTCTATTATTTTTAAAATTGCTAATTTTGTTCTAAAAAGTTAGCCGCACGCGAATTGTTGCAAGTATTAAAATATTCGACCTTTGGAATATTTCTTTGGAACAACGTAGAACTATTTTATTCGAATATTGCAGAAATTATTCCATTGAAATATTACTTTTTCAATTAACAACAAAATTCTTAAAAAATTCCAGTAGAATATTCCCACAATATTTTGATGAAATATTCCTACATTATTTCAAAGGAATATTCCAAAGGTCAAGCATTTTAATTTTTCTAAAATTTAAAGAGATAATCCATTAATATTCCTAGAATATTCCATTCACATTTTAGAAATAGTAAAATCTCCGAAAATTGGAAAAATGAAATATTACAACCTTTAAAATATTCTGTTAAAAGACTGTCATTGAAATGTTATAGTAGGAATGTTGGTTTTGAATATTAAGGGGATATTCCATAGAAATATTCCCACAATATTTTTGGTGAAATATTCCTATATTATTTCCAAGGAACATTCCAAAGGTTGGACATTATAATTTTTCTAAAATTTGAATTGAATATTCCAGAGGAATATTTCGAGTGTTCATATTAAATATTCCAGAAAAGTTAATCAAATATTTTGTGCTGCTGGAGTGGCTATTATTAGGGTTCAAAATTATTTACTTTTAAATTTTTAATTCGATCTTTTACTTATTTTTTAAAATTTTATTTCATTTTAATTTGATATTTTGAAAAATACACGATACAAAAGACAAACTTTTCAGAATTGACTTTTAATTACTGTATGTAATAATACTTTAGGTCAATCGATAAAGACCTAGTTACAAAGTCTCTCTAACTAAAGGCGATAAGAGGAGTTAGTTGTGGGGGGGGGGGGTGAAAAGGAGCGGGGGAGGGATTTGTTACCAACGAAATGAATCGAGCTTGAAGGTTTTTTAAAAGTAAAAGAAGAGAACCGCTTTGGAGAATACTCCTTTGTTTCCTAGCCGACGTTTTGTTTCTAGATTATGAGCTTATGAAGTATTCGTGTTTATCTACCGCAAGCGCATGGCCAGAAAGTTTCGAGTTAAGCTCAAAGAGATCCGATCTCTCTAAAATACTGTCTCAACTTGAGATTAATGTCACCAACAAACATTATACTGTCTTACAATTTTGAAAATTATCCACTTTTTATTACTTTTATTATCAGTTTAACTAAATTAATTTCAAAACTTATCTATTATAATCAAAAAACAATAGTTCACTTAATTATTATTATTATTGTTATTATTTCTGTTTATACTTTTTATCATTAATTATTTATAGAAAATTGAGGGAATGTTTTTAATAATTTCTATAAAATTTTTCTACAATATTTTGATAGAATATTCCGACATTATTTCCATTGAATATTTCAGAGGTCGGATATTTTAATATTCCTGAAATGAATGGAATATTCCATATGAATATTTTTCACGTTCCACTGGAATATTCCATATAAATATTCCTAATGTTCCAGTGGAATATTTCATATTAAATTGTCCGACTTTTGTAATGTTCCTTTTCGAATAATATAGGAATATTCCATCAAAATATTCTCGAAATATTCCATTTGAATTTTTAAAAATATGTTTCAATCATTATTATTTCATTATTATTTCCATATAAATTGAAATTTATTTTCAACTGGAGAAGTTGTAAATTTAAAAAGAAATATTTAATTGGAATATTCCTAGAATATTCCAATGAAATGTAATGAAACCTAATACAGTGAATACTGTATTAGACTTACAATGTTCGAATGGAATATTTCTATATTTTTCCAGAGGAATATTCCATAGGTTTAAAATTTTGATATTCTTTAATTGTAAATGGAATATTCCAGGTATATGGATATTACAGGAATTTGATTAAAATATTCTGCGCTATTTGGTGGATATATTTGAGTTTATGGAAATGATATTTTAATTTTAATTATTAAATTTTTTTTTATAATTATTAATATTGTAAATATTTTTTTTTTTAAGACCACTATTAATTTTTTACAGAGTTTTACTAAAACTCTGACTGATTTTATAAACAAATATTTATTTATATAATAAATACGTATATACATGTAGATTTTGTTTGTATGGAAAATAGTTTTTTGCATTCACGATTCATCGATATTTGAATTATATGTAACTTGAAATTAATTCGGAAAACGTAGAAATTTCATTTATCCTGTTTGAATTTAATTGCTTGATGTTGGACGTTGCTTTAGTCTGCGGTGCAAATTCGATTTAACAAACAATTTCCGATTTGATTGCTTAACAACTTTAGCCACATTTACTAAATCGGGACAAAATTTTTACAGTAGAAAAATATATTTATATTCTTTCTTTTGTATTAACTATGAAAATAAAAAGAAATTAATAATAAAATCGAAATTATATCTTTTTTTTTAAAAAAAACTCTAGGACTTTTGAAATAATTGTTAACAATTGTTAATTTTATTAAAAAAAAAAGTTTCTGCTTTCTACAATAACAATTTTTTGTAATGAGTTAAAATTTCTCAATTATAATTATTGCAATTATACATTTTATCGTTTCGTAATAATTTTTTATACAATTTGTTACAAAAATGTTTTTAATATAATGTTCAATATTTTTGAAAATAAAAAAAAATACTTGTACAGAAAAAAAGGTAAATTCTCATTAGTCGTAATTAAAATTTCCCTAATTAGCATTCAACCGAATGTTATTTTTTTCATTATTCTCTCTCGTTTTCCTCAATTTGGTAAAAATAAAAAGAAATTGAAAAAAAGAGAAAGAAACATTATAAATCATAAAAGTTATGATAAGTGAAATTTGGTTAAATGATAATTAGGCTTGTTTAAAATTATAGTTAGTAAAAAGTTTAATAAAGCCAGAATAATTATTATGAGAATAATGTAAATTTTTAATAATTCTGTCTCTCGTTTATTTATTAAATCACGAAAAAAATTTAATTTTTCGTATTAAGCGTAATTTCGTGAGTGTAAAAATAATAAAGATAAAAATAAAATTTGAAACATGCGGTCAATAAATTCATTCATTAATTTTAATTTATACGCAATGCGAAGTTTTAAAAAAATATTGAATTACCTAAAGTAATTAATTAACTAATTTAGATACAGTACAATTTTCCTAAATTCATTTATTAGTTTAATTATTATTATTTATTAATTTTGTGGTCCTTAATTATTAATTTAATTACAAATAACTATTAGTGTAAATATTATTAATTATTTATTTTTGGCCCTTAATTACTAGTCTAAATATTATTACCTAATTGATAATTTTTTTTACTTTTAATTATTAATTTAACTATAATTATGAATTACTAGCAAATTATTCTAATAATTGAGTAAAAATTAAAATTGAATTATTAAAACCATTAATACTGACCTCATTTTCGTGACGACAATTGGAGTGAAATCAAGTTGCGATAATCCTAAATCCTCGGATTTTATGTCATCGAGATTATTGTACTTCACTTGTCTACAGCTCAGTGTGGGTAAACCTGAAAAATAAAAAAATTTTTTTTAATTATTTAAATCTCGATTTTTTTTACCGCTACTGCTGTGCTTCTGCTTTTCGACAATGATAAAATCCGGAAATTCTTCTTCACCCCTCACCCCTCCCCTTCCACCTCTACACTTGTACAATTTCTCTTTCACTCTTGCCCGGTAAACTTTTTTTTTTTTTCCTCTTTCCCCGCGCACGTGAATCGTAACGTATCGCGACGGAAATATAACGTTGGCCGCGTTAACATCGAAAAATCTATAGGTTATGTGTGCACATATCCATAAATAAATATGAATGTTGTATGAGGACGATGGAATCGAAGAGAGCTCGTGTATTGGGAATGCAATTTTAGTGCAGAGAACCTTGCGCGATTTATCGACCATGATGTGGAGGGTCTGGATCGATTAAAATTGATATTTTCTGATGTAAAAAAAAAGATATTGTTACTTTTTTTAGCCTCTTGTTTCAAATAAATTTCCGTTTTGAAAAAGGTAAAATTACAATAGTAAAAAGAAAGGGAAATAAAAAAATTATTGTTGGTCGTTTTCTTTTATTTTATGAAAAATTTTATTCACATTCGTTTTGATTTTAGAGTGTGCGAAATTTATTCTTTGATTTATGTTCAATTAAATATTTATTTACAATACCATTTTTAATAGTAGCAAATTTATCATTTTCGATAATTAAAATTTACTATTTACAACTTTATATTTTGATCGAAATTAATATGTGCACGAGGAAGAGAAACTAATTCACTATAGCACTGAATTCCTTGCATTCCTTTACAACATTTGAAATATTCTAAATACGTATTAAAGAAAAACAATATTTTTCAATACCATGTAATTTTTCATTCACATTCCTGGAAAACCGGAAATATAACGAAAAGTGTATTTCTTCCACATTTTATGAATGCGTTACAATGAAATAATGCAACCTTTGGAATGTTTCTTTAGAATAATCTATCACTATTCTATGGAGAAATTTTAATTGCAATGCCATATTCAAAACTATTTTTAAATTGCTTATGGAATATTCTTTTGGAATATTTCCAATATTAGAATGAAATATTCCGTGCTATTGGGGTTTAAATATTTTTTTTAATTATTAATTCCAATATTATTATTTCAAGAAACATTTCAGAGGTCGAATATTTCTAATGTTCCAATGGAATATTTCATAATAATATTCCTAATATTCCAGTGGAATATTCTAGGAATTGGTTTAGAACATTTCGTCATATTACGATTCATTTTAGAAATATTAATTGTCCGACGTTTGGAATGTTCCTTTTGGAATAATATAGGAATATTTCATCAAAATATTCTGGAAATATTCCATTTGAATTTTCTAAAATATGTTTTAATCACTATTAATACAATTGTTCATATACTATTAAATTTTCGCGCCGTTGAAATAAATTATCAATTTATTTTGAACTGGAAAAGTGGTAAATTTAAAAAGAAATATTCTAGTGGAATATTCCTGGAATATTTCAATGAAATGTTTCTACTGTATTAGACTTATAATGTTCGAATAAAATATTTCTACATTTTTTCAAGAGAAATATTATAAAAGTTTAAAATTTTTGTATTCTTAAAATGTGAATAGAATATTCCCAACGTTCTATTGAAATATTCCAGAAATATAAAAGGAATATTTCAAAAATTAGAATATTCGGTCTTATTGATGGATTTTTGACTGAATGAAAATTATATTTTAATTTTAGTTTGAACAAAATTGGTTTGATTCAAATAAATGGTTTTCTCAATATATTTATACCTAATAATAATTTGGAAAAACTTTATGTAAATTAAAAAATTCAAAATGGCGGATTTAATATGGCTAGACAATAAAAATTCGAGTGATAAAAAATTATTTAAAATATAATTTCCTAATATTTATTTTTACAAAATTTTGCAAAATTTTTGTAATATCTAATAATTTTTTATACGCGATTTTCTTTATTTTATAATAACCACTTTTTATAATTTTTTTTTCATTCGAATAATTATTCGAATAAAATAGAATTATAAAAATAAGTAACCACTTTTAATATAGCAACTTTTTATAATTTTATTTCATTCGAATAAAATAAAATTATAAAAAGTGGTTATTATAAAATAAAGAAAATTCCATAAATAATCATTAGATATTACAAAATTTTTGAAAAATACTAATTCGATATAATAATAAATATGAGAAGTTTATAATTCGGTAAAGTTACAGTTAGAAAAAATACAGGTTACAAAATTAGTGATTATAAAGAAGAGTATAATTAGGAGTGAAGAAAATTATAAAAAATGTTAATTCGACAAAGTTAAAATTAGTTTGAAAACATTTGTAAGAAAAAAGTTTTATTACAAATAATATTTCGATAAACCAAAATTGAAGAATCTTAGAAATTAGAAAATTTACACATTATAAAAATTATGATTAGAAACAATAAATTTTATAAGAATTGGTAATTCGGTAACAATAAAATTATATTGAATAATAATTCGAGGACATAATTATTAACAAATCTATAAAATAATGTTTATCAGAATTGACAATTAGAAAATGTAAATATTAATGTAAATAATGAATATAAAAAATAAGACCTGATTTTTAGAAATGATTATTCGGTGATTTGAAGATTATAAAAAATACTTTTTCACAATAATAAACATTCAGTCAATCGGTTATACGAAAACAATGTTTCTTTAAATTATTATTTTGATTTAAAAAAATTATAATTATTATAACTATTAGAGGTGTGCAAAAAGCTCGAATAGCATGGTCGAGCTCGAGTTTTAGTTATACTCAAAAATATTTGAGTGCTCGAAAAATTCAAGTGCTCAAAATTATTTTAGGTTTAATACTGCACGTGTCGGATGGAATTTGGTTCAATTTCGGATTGATTCTGCTCAGCTCTGCTAGAAAAATGAAAAGCTTGAAATACTCGATAGAGCTTTTTGCACAACTCTAATAACTATATATAATTAATTCCTATTACATCAAAATAATTTTGGTAAAATAAAGATTTGTAAAATAAAACTTGGGATCTAATCATTAGTAATTTACATTATTTAAAAAGTTCTGCAAGAACCTTAAATATGTCTAAATTTTTTAGAATCATTTGACGTACAAACAATCAAATCAAATCAAATCAAATCATTTTTTTTAAAATAATTTGATTTGATTTCCCATTATCAAAAAAAGTTGTCATTAAAAGTTAAAACTAATGCTTCCCATTAAGAAAGAAGAATTATATTTTGAAAAATAAATGATTTTGTTGGTGTGAGAAAATTGTTTGCAATTTGACCATTGAACGACAAGAATGATGGGTGGATAGTGTTTAAACGGAGGTCGAGAGTAGGTTGAGAGTGAAAGACAGCCAATTTTTGAGAGTGCACCTTGAAATAATCATAGCTCGCTCGTAAGTGGAGCGTTTCGCTGTAGAACATTCTCGCAAATATCCATCTGCAGCTGTAAGTTGGTAAAGCATAGTGCTTGATGTTGAGTATACGAAGACTTGCAGTGGTGGTGGGGGTGGAGGCTAGAGGGTGAAGGGTTTGAGGGTTGTAAAGACGCGGAATAGTCCGGGAGATGCTATATAATATTCATGCAGCAATATTGCATCTTGAGTGGTGCCATTAGACTGTTGGAGCATCAGCCGCGACGCGATCTCGGCTACTAGTTTGTTGTTCGCTCTGAACAACAGTAAATGTTCAAGTACATTCTCTTCCCGAGAGGTATTTCATTCTATATATGTATAGAATAGAAGAGTGTTTGTGAGTGAGAGAGAGAGAGAGAGAGAGAGAGAGAGAGAATATCGACCAATTTGTCGGACAGTAGATTATGGCCTTGCAGTATCCAGTAATTACGTTATTAATTTTAAATTGACTTTCACTATACGATGTATATATAGTGAATTGCCGCCCCTTTCACGCGATCCTCTCCTCATACACGTCATACCGATATAACTGGCTTTTCCCATCCATTTATTATTGAAGAGCAAATGCTGCTTTAGGAAAATGCACTAGTCTGATAACCGTTTTCGATGTGATCGGCTTCTACTGATCTCATTACTATTATTATTTTCTTTTTTTTTCTCTTTTCATCTCTACACCCTCAACTATTTCAACGCTTTCAATTTATATTTCCTCACTTATTGATATTTCATTTTACTTTGCGATTTTTAGCTTTTAAATTTATTTTATCGGTAAAAAGTATAAAAACTAAAAAGTGATTTTGTAAAAATAATGGAAAATTGACTGAAATATAAAATAAGTATAAAAAATAGACTGTATAGGCGCGTTCGCAGTTGACACAAATGGAATATCTAATCAATTCCATGATATAAGTGATAATGGACATTAATTAATTAATTCGATTTGATTTGATGCTCTAGAATACAAACCTAATACGATATGTTAAATTGTAATATACTCAGTAAATATATTAAGTATCTATTGGCCATAAAATTTTTTTCTATTTTAAACACACAAATTTTTAAGTATTTTTTCAAATTGTCAAAATTTATGTATTTTTTTCAAAATTGTCAAAATTTACGATGTAAAAAAGTGGCCCAAGATGGGTATCTTCAAAAACTCTCAAATATCTCTTATCGATAACAATTTATGCTGTTTTAAAGAAAAAATTCTAAAAAAATTCAAAGTTGTTTATCTTCAATGTTTATGAATATTTTTCGAAAAAAGTTTCACTACTTTTTTAGTTGAATTTAAGAGAACAATAATTGCTCATCTCTAAAACTGTGAGATTATAGAATTGCAAGGGGATAATTATAATCATAGGAAAAAGTATTTGATTTTAATTTTCTATTTTTACTATACTGAAAACCGTGTATAATTATTATCTGATCGAAATTCGCTTTTTCTACTGATAATCGAATTACATGTCTGATCAAAGATAAGGTTTACTACTGATATATTGAGTACTACCTTTGTCTGACTATAATTTACTTTCACCACTGATACAATAATTTAAGTT